AAAAAACAATATTTCAATGTATTCTCAACAAATTTTTATGTCTTATCTCTCAGAACAGTGGCTAAGAATGCAGGTGGAATTTTGGTGTAAAAAACAATTTTGAAAAATTTTTCTCCAGTTACTGAAGTAAAAAAAAAAAAAAATTGTATTTCATTGAGCAGCTACAGCTACAAAAGTGTATGTATTATACATTCATTTGCTATATAATTTACTCATTACTGAATAAATTGGTCAAAAGAATATTTTATATAGCATATTTTTCTTTTACCATATATCGGTGGCATTTTGATTAAAAAGTTATGCCAACTCTTTTTTCAGTTTCAGTTATCGTTCATGAAAACTTCATTTCTTTTCACTCTTTCACTGTTGTGATAAACCTACTGTCGTAGCACAAAACCTTAATTTTTTTTTTTTACATCATTATCATTTCATTGTAAATCCATGTATTTCAATGAACAAATTATATGATAGAAAAAAAAAAAAGTTTTTTTTTTTTCTTTTTTAACCTGTTGTCATCAAACAACAACTGACATTAACTGCAAAAACAATGCTGTTAAACCTTGGCGTACTTGATGGACAAGTTGAAGATATGTTGATGAGATATTTTACAAATAGCTCACAAAGGCTGCAATCCGACAAGTATCAACAAAAAAAAAAAAAGAGAAAGAGAATTGTTAACCGTATCATTTGCAAATACATCAGTTCACCTGTGCAACAGTATTTCACTGAACCAACTTAAATGCTAAAAAAAAATTTTTTTATTTTCTTCATCTATAATTTACCATATTGCACATGACTTGCAAAACAACAAAATATACTGCCAAGGCAATTGCTTCTCATAAATCTAAAAAAAATTTTTTTGCACTTTTTTTCCAATCTATGGTTTCCTTCCTATCTGTTTCGAAATTTGGAAGAACACTTTTGAGATTTATTGAACATTAGCTTCAGGTTATCAGATGAGATTTGATTGATCTTAGCTAAAATTAATAAGTGACAATGAGATATCACCTGCTTTTCCTATAATTCCTCGACAACGTGAGTAGTAGTTTCCAGTCCAATGAATTATAAAATTTTCTAATTTTTTATATACAAAACAGTCTTTTTTTCATGCCTTTTTGAAACAGCTTATGAACTAAACTGCACATCGAGTAATTTTTTTTTTTTAAACAACGCACTTAAGAAACTTGAAGATATACCATTATCAATCCAGAAATGGTTATGCTCATGAGATCTTATTGAATATTTTCTTAATAGATTAGCAAATGAGCTTCATAAGAGTATTTTGAACTTTTAAAAATTAAACTGAAATTTTTTCTTATTTGCAAAGATTGCTAATCAGTTAATTGTTTCTATGACTTTTTATTTTTGATCCACCACCATCATATTGCTCAACATTAGAATCATTTCATTCTTCAGATGAAGAATTTTGCCATTCATTACGTTAAACTCTGCTAGTACCTTTCACTTTACCCTCGTACCCTATACAAAAACCAGTATTTTCGGAGATAATGGTGTTGACGATACTGCAGATTTTGCCGTCCTCAGTAAGAGTTTTTAAATTAGCGCCTTTGGCGTGGAGCCAGATTTTTTGTTGTTCGCATGACGTCCACCGCCCTGGCCGGAGGCTGTTGTAGTCTCTGTGAATCGGGAATATCCAATTTTTTTGTCTGTAGAGTTCGGTTTTTGGCTGGTAATGAATTTTTTTTTTTTTTGTTTTAAGAAGTTACTATTTGTTAGATTCGTGAATTTATATTGTGCATTGTTTTTTTTTTTTCCTTTTCTAACTGCACAACTGTAAAAGGAATTGCAGCCTGTGATAAACGGTTAAAAGTTCACCAAAACCGTGTTTTCTTCTCTGTATAGCCTTGTTTATTTATTTATGCAATTTTTTGAGTACGAGTCCCTTTTACTACATGTTGCTTTGTTACTTGAGTGTTTTATGAAATTAAAATTCAAAGTTCAAAAGTTTTTTTTGCCAAAAAATGAATCGTGCTAGTTGCATTATATCTTCTATTAAAAAAGTTAAAGATTCTTGAAGGATTTCTAAATTTTTAAAATTGCATTGCTGTTTAATGTATGCCGTTATGAAATGCTTAGTTTTTGTTGGTTTAGTGATTTCTTTTGAAAAAAATAGCACTTTAGTTTCCGGTTTCTTGTATCAGAAGCTCCCGCAGTAGCTTAATGTTTCACCAAATTTCTGATTTTAGTAGAACAACTTGTGGGAACTTTGACTCTTATTTAAGTATTATACGGTTCATTTATATGGGTTTTTCTTGTAAGTGGCTCCGAATAAATTTTTTTGTTAAGAATAAGCTGTAAATTGTTACTGGCTTTATTCAAAATAAATTAATTCAGAAAGGAATTTGAGGTTTTTTTCTTAGGTAGGGGAATAGAGTACTTCACTGATTTTAAAATAAACCTGATCAAGATAGAGTGCGAATTCTGTGCGTCAGGGTTGTTTTGAAAGGTTATAGTTCTAGTTTTTCAGAGTATCATGGGGAGTGAGAGTAGGCGGGAGCATCGAGAAAGGAAAGAAGAAAAGAAACGAGACCGCTCCAGGGACAGATCGCCTCGTTATGATAAGAACAGTCGTGAAAAACGAGATAGGCGTAGAAGTCGTTCACCGAGAAAGAGAGAAAGGGAACGAGACAGAAGTAAGTCTAAAGAAAGAAACCGGGACAAGAAGCGCGAGAGGAAGGAGAAGGAACTCGACCTAGCAGAAATTGTTACAATGACTGATAAGGTTATTTTAAAGTGTTTAAATTTTTCTTTCTGTTTTTCGTTGTTTGACTGCTATATGAAGGTTTCTCAAAGGTTCCTTTTAATTTATTGATTCTGAGGATCGTTTAAGGATGAAGCAGACAGAAAACTTGAACTGGAGATGCAAAAAAGGAGGGAAAGGATTGAGAAGTGGAGGAAGGAGAGAAAGAAAGCGGACCCGGAAGCAAAAGACGAAGAAAAAAAGGAGGAAACAAAAGAACATACATGGACGTTGGATAATGAGGAAGACGATGATGAACAGCCAGTTCAGTCCGAGTCGAAAGACGAGCAAAAGTGAATATTATTATTTTAATTCAAAGAATAAACAAACTACTGTTGTGGTTTTAAGGAGACGGAGCAAGTGCTAATTTAAGTTTCTACGCTTTAAGAATTGTATTGGTAAATGTTAGAGTGTAGTAACTGATTACAGAAGAAAGGATATCGTAATGGGAAGGATTAAAGTTCTGAGAAAATTTTGAAGATTAGTCATGTAGGAGTTTGCAGATGTTGAGGAGCTGTTATTTTTCAGTTTTTTGGTTGTTATTTTAGCTTATTATTTTGTTTTTCATCTTTATCTTTCCGATTTTTAACAAATTCTTATTACGTTTCCAAGAATTTGTTGTCTTTTCGCATTTCATTTACTTTATTCTTTCTTCCTTTTTGGTCAGTTTTTAGTTAAAGCAGATGTCTAATTTTTTTTGATGCTTTGTCAAACTGGGGATGAGAGTGTTTTTTTTATTTGTTTGAAAATGGTTGTTTTTACCTTGAAAGTTCTGAATGACTGCTTTTTCCACGACGTGTTTTTACTAGCAGCGTAACTTTGCTCTTAGGAGATGTAGATCAGGCATCTCAGGTAATACTGTTTGGTTTCCAGTAATGCTGTGAATCGAAAGTACTTTGGTAATACGTCTGATTAGCTATAGCTTTCGGAAGAAAAACCGGTTTCCGGTCAAGAAATTATTCACTGCGTTTTATAATTGTAATGCTGGCTTGATTGGGATGGTCTTTGCGCTTATAGTAACTATTTTCAGACCGGTTGAAGCGGATGACGATGAAGTGGACCCTTTAGATGCGTATATGGCTGAAGTGAATAAAGAAGTGCGGGCTACGAAATATGGAGGGCAAAAGGTTCGTATTCTTAAGAACAGCTTTTTTCCTCGTGCTTTGTTAGGAAATGTTTTTTATATTATCTTTAGCTGTTTTTTATTTCTATTGACAGCCTCTTTGAGGGGTTGCTTTAATTCAACATTTAGGTGAAAGATGGAAAGGCGCGAATTGTTGTCATAAGCAGTGAATCGACTGTCGAACCGAAGAAAGGAGAAATTATAGAAGCGGAAGATGAAATAGAGGTATCGTTTTAATTTTGCTTTTAAAATCTGTAGTAGTTAGAGTTTTGAAAGAGTTCTTTTGCAAATACTTTGTAATGAGGAGTAAATTAATTTTCATTACAGCAAGTCATTGATGATTTTGACATTGAAAAAGCAGCTTCCTCGCTCATAGCGAAAGGTCGACAACTCCCTCAAACTGATCATTCAAAGGTCTGTTCTGTTCAAAAAATGCTTATTTTTTTCTGTTGATAAATTTTGGTAGAGGAAAAAATTAGAGCTAGATTATATTTATGTATAAACTAAGTCTTGTTTTTAAGGTGTATTACCGGCCTTTCCGAAAAGATTTTTATGTGGAAACTGCAGAACTTGCCAAAATGAGTAAGAAAGAAGTTGATGCGTATAGGGAAGAATTGGACATTCGTGTAAGAGGGAAAAACTGTCCTAAACCTGTGAAAACTTGGGCACAGTGCGGAGTTGAGTATAAAATTTTAACGACCCTAAAAAAGTAATTTAATTTTGTTAATCATGAAGAGTCTTTTCTTTTATTTTCTATTTAGACGCTTGTTCTACAAATCACAGACTTTAATATAGGCTTGGTTATTCAAAACCAACTCCTGTTCAAGCTCAAGGCATTCCAGCCATCATGAGTGGGCGAGATGTAATTGGTATTGCTAAAACTGGAAGTGGCAAGACTCTTGCATTTTTGCTGCCTATGTTTCGACACATAATGGACCAGCCAGAGTTAGAAGAATTAGATGGACCCATAGGTTGTGCACTTTTATCTCTTCCTATTCATTGAAGCTTTGAAGGTTTTTAATCTTATTAACTGCGGCTGATTTTTAGCTGTTATAATGTCTCCAACAAGAGAGTTGGCTATGCAGACAGCAAAGGAGGCTAATAAATTTGCTAAGCAACTTGGTATTCGAGTGGTATGTGTTTACGGAGGTGTTGGAATTTCAGATCAAATTAGTGACCTGAAAAAAGGTGCAGAAGTGATAGTATGCACTGTGGGACGACTCACTGACATGCTTGCCGCGAATAAAGGTTTGGATTGCTTTTGTTCTATGTAACATTTTTAGACCGAAGGTGATGACTTGGAGTCGGGTTTGTAACTTTTGATTTATGTATAAATTTTGATTTATGTACTAGTCAGATAGCTTACATGGCGTCTTGCAGGATCAGTTATTCTTGAAATATTCTATTTCAATAATTTTTAACTACATGACTTTGCAGGGAAAGTCACTAATTTACGTCGAGTGACATATCTGGTTTTAGACGAGGCAGATCGCATGTTTGATATGGGCTTTGAACCTCAAGTTATGAAAATTGTTAACAATATTCGACCAGATCGACAAACTGTAATGTTTTCTGCTACATTTCCTCGGCAGATGGAGGCGTTGGCTAGAAAAATTCTTGACAAGCCTATTGAAGTTCAAGTAAAAAAGTTTTTCTAAGTCTTGTTATTCGACGTTAAATTTATTTATCAATGTGGCGTTATAGGAAACAGATCACCATCTCTTGCTTTCTTTGTTAGTTTTGATGGTGTTTTTTTCCAGGTTGGTGGTAAAAGCGTTGTTTGTGACGATGTTAGCCAGAATGTTGTGATTTTGGAAGAACATCAGAAGATGTTGAAGCTTCTTGAATTGCTTGGTGTTTATTGGGAGCATGGGAATGTTTTGGTCTTTGTGGATAAACAAGAGAAAGCGGACGACCTCGTTGCTCAGCTGATGAGAAGTGGTTATAATTGTGCGCCACTTCATGGAGGAATTGATCAGTTTGATCGGGACTCTACTATTCTCGACTTTAAGGCTGGTAAAATTAAACTTCTGGTGAGTTTAAATTGGTTAATTCCTTAACGTCAAACTTGAATTATGGAGTCTTCCAGTTAATAAGTTTAAGGTCGCCACCTCAGTTGCAGCACGTGGTCTCGACGTCAAAAAGCTGATTTTAGTTGTAAATTATGATTGCCCCAATCACTATGAAGATTATGTACATCGTGTTGGACGTACAGGAAGGGCTGGTAATAAAGGATATGCATACACTTTTATACTACCACAAAGTAAATTATTTGTTCTATTTCATTTTTAGTTTGTTACTTGTACTCAGTTAATTATTAGCACAGCTTTTATTTCAGATCAGGAACGTATGGCAGGTGAAGTCTGCCGTGCATTTGAAACAGCGGGAAAAGAACCACCGGAGCAGCTGAAAAAAATGTGGGAGGATTACAAAGCTGAAATGGCCGCACAGGGAAAGACAGTTCATATTGGAGGAACTGGTTTTTCTGGCAGTGGTTATAAATATGATCAAGTACTTTTTTCTTAATTTGCTTTTAATATAGTATTTTTTTAAAGCTACTCATCCGTATTGCAGGCTGAAGACGAAAAAGAAGCGACAAGAAGAAAAGTGACACGTTTAGTCCATGGAATGGAAACTGCTATGGACGATGATGATGACGAAGAAATCGAGCAACAGTTAAGCAGTATGATGAAGGGTAGCACCCGTGTCGTGCAAGGTTACAGCTCTCATGGTACACCTTCATCAACAGCTGTGGGAGATAAAATTGAAAAGGTGAAGCAGTAGTAAGATCTTTTTATCTGTTCAATTTTTTAATTATTGAAATTGCCGTTGAAGTAAATGTAACTGTGTTGTGCTCAGGCGAGGGCATTGGCTGCAAAAATTGCAGAGGCAAAACAACTTGGTGTGACGGCCCCAATCGAGAAAGATGCAACTTCATTAACTGCAGAGGCTGTAATGCGGGGTAGTGATGCTGCACCTATTGCACTTTCTGTAAGTTCAGGCAATTGGCTTACGTTCGAAATATATCTTTAAATTGGTTTTTTTCTATTTTTCTTAAAATGTGTAGATTTCTTACTTTCTAGGCGAAGTCAATAGCTAAACAAAAAGCGGAACAGTTGAACGAACGATTGAATTATATGCCGTCAGAACTTTTGCCTGGAGTAGAAACAGAAGCAGAATTGCAGTACTTTGAGGAGGAATTAGAAATCAATGATTTCCCGCAACAGATTAGATATCGCATCTGTTCAAGGGTATTTCGCATAAATTTTCATTCCTTTGTCAGATACCTTTTGGAAGTAAATTTAGACGTAGTAATAACCGAGAAAGTAGAGCCATGTTTCAAGTTCTGTTAGGAAAATTGGTCGATATTTTTTACAGGACAGTTTGGCCCAAGTCCAAGAATATGCTGATGTTGGAATATCCGTAAAAGGATCTTATTATCCTAATAATAAAGAACCGAAAAACGGGGAAAGGAAGCTGTTTCTTTTCCTTGAAGCACGTTCTGAACTTGCTCTCCGGAGAGCCAGAGAAGAGATTTTACGTATAATGAAGGACGCTTTTCGACAGATGGTATGGGGTTTATTTAGCAACTGAAAAATGAATTTTTTATTTGTTGGCAGAAATTTCTAATACAATTTTTTTTTCAAATATTCCGCAATTATTTGATTTTTAAAAAGTTATTGGAACATTTTAGACACAAACTGGTGGAAGAAGTGCCAGTACTGCGGGGCGTTACAGACTGTTTTAAAGAGTATCTCATTTTTGTCATGTAGTTATTTGTTCCTTTGTTTTATTAGATCGAGGAGTTCTTCACCGCTGTTTGTGAGTTCGCTTTACTCTGTAACTTATTGTACAATACAGCTACTTCTTTAGGACTCAAAAGATTCTACATTACAGACATATCTCTACCAGCTGGTTTTCTTTTACACTTCTAAGTAGTTTAGAAACTTAGAAGTTTAAGGCAATATTTTTAACTATTTTTT